GTATGCACCACACTCGGCGGCTGCTTCAGCTCCGATATTCTAGCAGCCATTGACAGAGCCATCGACGACGACGTCAACATTTTATCCATGTCACTCGGCGGTGGCATGTCCGATTATTACAGAGACAGCGTGGCCATCGGAGCTTTCGCCGCCATGGAGAAGGGTATCTTAGTCTCCTGCTCCGCAGGCAATGCGGGTCCCAGCTCGTTCAGCTTGTCGAACGTTGCTCCATGGATCACCACCGTGGGCGCAGGCACACTGGATCGGGATTTCCCGGCGCAGGTCACTCTCGGCAACGGGAAGAACTACTCCGGCGTATCCTTGTTCAAAGGAGATGCTTTGCCGGCCAAATTGCTCCCTTTTGTTTACGCCGGCAATGCGAGTAACGCCACTAACGGCAATTTGTGCATGACCGGAACCCTAATTCAGGAGAAAGTGAAGGGTAAGATTGTGATGTGCGACAGGGGAGTCAACGCGAGGGTTCAGAAGGGGCAAGTCGTGAAAGAAGCCGGAGGCATCGGAATGATCCTCGCCAACACAGCGGCGAACGGAGAAGAGCTTGTGGCGGATGCACATCTGTTGCCGGCCACCGCCGTCGGCGAGAAATCCGGCGACGAAATCCGGCAATACGTCTTAACCGACCCCAATCCCAGAGCAACGATCGCCTTCGAAGGAACCGTCGTCGGGATCCAGCCGTCGCCGGTAGTGGCTGCTTTCAGTTCGAGGGGACCGAACTCCATCACGCCGGAGATTCTGAAACCCGACTTGATTGCGCCTGGTGTCAACATCCTTGCGGCATGGACCGGAGCCGCTGGACCCACAGGTCTCGCCGGCGACGTCCGGCGCGTGGGCTTCAACATCATCTCCGGGACGTCGATGTCGTGCCCTCACGTGAGCGGCTTGGCGGCGCTCCTGAAGGCGGCTCACCCCGACTGGAGCCCGGCGGCGATACGCTCAGCCCTTATGACCACCGCCTACAGCTCCTACAAAGACCATAAGCCTATACTCGACGTCGCCACGGGCAAGCCATCGACGCCGTTCGACCATGGAGCCGGACACGTGTCGCCCGTGAACGCCCTCAACCCAGGCCTACTCTACGATCTGACGGCGGGGGATTACCTAGGGTTTCTGTGCGCGTTGAAGTACACAGAATCGCAGATCAAGAGTGTGGCGAGGAACAACTTCACGTGCGATCCAAGCAAGACGTACAGCGTCACCGATCTGAACTACCCGTCGTTCGCGGTCAACATCGTGAGTGGGACCCGCGCGTATAAATACACGCGCACTGTCACGAGCGTGGGTGGGGCCGGTACCTACCGAGTGCATATTTCTTCGGAGACGACGGCCGTCAAGATTTCGGTTGAACCGGCGGTTTTGAGTTTCAGAGAAGTGAACGAGAAGAAATCGTATACGGTCAGTTTCACTGTAAGCTCGGCGGCGGCGGCAACGGCTAACAGCTTCGGGAGAATCGAGTGGTCCGATGGGAAACACGTGGTCAGCAGCCCGGTGGCATTTAGCTGGACATAGTGCGTAAATATGTTGAACTTTGAGGGTTATAGTGACTGAGAGATACACTGATGATGCCGTTTCTTGTAAACCATGTTCAAGGGAAACGGCATGCAGTCCGTTAGACCATCCGTTTGGTTTTAGAAATTCTCGCTGTTTCTCTTTCTAAATATAATCCCTGCCCCTGGTATAAAAGCTGGGCCTAGGTGTTTGTTTTATGTTACTTGCGAATATCTAATCCCATGAAGGGGGGAAACGGTGAAAATGAAAAAAAGGGTTATCACCGTTAATTTTATAGTATCGTTATTGAATCATTTCAAGTTTATATTAAGAATCTTCTTCTTCCTAATATGTAATTCGATATATAAGAAAGAAAAATGGAAACTTAGAGATCATGAGGAAATGTGAAGATTTACAAATTGCAAAATAATATAATTAAAAGCCGAATATAACGCTACAGAAAATGGGCCTGTAAGTTTTTTTGAATATCCTATATATGGGCCAGTAAATATCTTTCATGGGCTTTATCGGTTTTGTGGCTGAGCATGACCAACATGGGCCTATTTGCTTACATATGGTTGTGCCCGTATACATAACCAATATACTTGTGTATTTTCGTTTTTTTTCCGTATGATTAATTTCTCAAGAATTCAATATTCTGATTTTTTTCTCGAGATTTTAGGTGAGAAAAATAAGTTTAAATATTTTTAATATTAATTAGACAAACTAGATAATTGGAAATACATGACAAATTGAAAATTTTGCATTAATTAGAAAAGGAAAATAGGGAAAATGACAAAAACGACGCCGCTTGGGCAAGCGGATCTTTAACGCACCCACACCAAGCCGCTCATGTGGTTTTTATTTATTTATTTATTTATTTATTGGTAAAGATGTGGTTTTTATTTTGCAATGACGAGATTCAACTCTTTGTGGTATATGACCCATTTTCGTTTGGCTTAAATCAAAGTCAAAATCTCCTCTCCATTTACATGAATTTGAATATAGAATTATGGTCATATATCATTTCGTCTCCATTTATTTATGGTCAAAGATTAGTATGCACCACATTTGTATATAGCTTTTTTTCAAGATTTTGTTTCTAGAAATTAATCACTTGTTTCGGTGACGAAAATTCCGAGAAAAACAAAGGAAAAATAGAGAAAAATATTTACAAATTGTAGATGATCTCTGCTATTAGTCAATAACTAATAAATGAAAAAAAATAATTTTAGACCTTTCTATAACAAATAAATGAACAAAAATAATATAAATGTGTGTGTGTATATGAATCGATGATGCCGGTTAAAGTATAACTATCGCGTGCCAAAAACAGTGGCGTTGGCCCACTTGAGGACGACCCAAAACTAATATCATTTAATTACCATATTTTGTATTTATTCCAATTTTGTATTTTTTCCATTAGCAGAAAAAAAGGATATGCCCCTAACGCTGGCCTGACCTGACAGCTACGACTTGTTTTGCCATGCGTTCATCATTATACACACGTATACGTATATACTCTTTCGCTTACGCTGTAGTTTATTCCATTTTGTAATAAGATAATCCGGGTTTGACATTTTGGATCACATTCAAAATGGACGGTTTGATTTGATATACGAATATTATTTGAGGAACCATTACAAAAATGGTGTCATAAACCATTGCATTTCATCGTGAATTATGCATATACAGGTCTATATATACGCGTATATAATACATATATTTCCGTATACCGGGACTAATACGGCTCATGGGTTATTTTGAGTGTCGTGCGGCATTTACATAATTCGTACAAAAAGAATACAACTTTCGGTTTCTGACAAAAACTATTTTATCGACAGCTTATGTTTGGTCCCGATTATATATGTATGTATTCATGTATATAATGATGTAGAAGAGCGCGCAAGCGTATAAAAAAAGAGCGTGATACATATCAGCTGAGGCTTCTGGCTTTTCAATGGAAGCTTCTCTTATTTAAATATTCAGCTTCGCCTTTCCTCTTTCGGGTTTTTCAAACAGTTCCCACACATTGAAACTCCGAAGCTTCGGACATGGCGAGGATCTGTACGGAAGAAAACATGGAAGAAACCCGTTTGATCGGTCCTCCTCACCATCCACGCGAACTCGACGACGACGACGATGATGATGAAGACGACGAAGAAGCGTTATCGTTATGCGATCTACCTGTGAATTTATCGACAAGGGAAGTCGATGAATTTCGATCACGAGTCGAAGAATCTCCGAGAATTGGGGAATCTCACGAGGCCTCAACAAAACCAGAACTGAAAGATTCCGATTTCAGGTTCCATTTTTCTGTCGGGTCGTCGTTGCGGGTCGGGTCGGATCCGGCAGAGTCCGCCGATATGAGCACGGCGGACGAGTTGTTCTTCAAAGGCCGTATCTTACCGCTACGCCACTCGTTCAGCCAGGAAGACGGGTCAACCCGAGATCCGACCAGGTTTATTTCAAGATCGGAGTCGATGGATTTCCGGCGAGTCGGCTCGTTCGCCAAAGGCGGAAGCATCAGCCGTTGCTCCGCCGACACCGCCACCGCCGGCCGGGAAATGAAAAATAATTTCCTGAATTACAGTCAACCGAGCCCACAACCACAGATCAGAAGAACGTCAAGCTTAACGGCGCGTGTCAGTACAAGCAGAAGTCAAAATTCATCGATCTGGGATGTTCTCCGGCTCGGCCTCGTCCGAGCGCCGGAGATCGAATTGCAATACCTCAAGCTTCAAACCACCGCAGCTAACGCCGGCAACGCGAAATCATCAGTCAGTAGGAACAGCAGCTGCAGCAGCACAAGCACGAGCTGCAATTCCAAGAAAACAACAGGAGAATCCAAAACGACTAAACAGAGACATGGGTTTGTCTTGTCGGATCGGAGAAGAGGGTTCTTGTTCGGGGACTGCAAGTGTTCCACGGCGGGGGCGGAGGCAGTTATACGGAAGAACGGTGGCTCCGGCGGCGGCGAGGAGGACGATAAAGAAAGGAGGAAGAAGAAGACGGCGAAGAAGAAAGCAGAGAAAGTGGAGATGGCGCGTAAGAGGACGGTCGAGTGGATGAAGGAACTTTCAAATTCAAACTTCATCGACCATGGCAGAAGCTTGGCGTGATCACCCAGCAAAATCATGCTTTTTTTTTTTGGGTTCTGTTTTCTCCTCTAATCATTTTCCCCCATATTTTCTTTTTGTACTTTTGTGTATTACGTATATTTGCAGATTTTTTTTATTTGAATTAAATTTCGTTCTTTAATCATTGTAATATGATCATTAAAGATTATTTCGTGCTGCTTCAAAATATTTTGATCCTTTTACCGGTCTATTTTTTTTTTTTCAAATTTTGATAATCGATTTTGTGTAAACGTGGGCTTATTCACCAGCACGATTGCGAATTGCCATGTAGATAATAAATCCGTAACTTTAAAAAAATTAATGGCGTATATTAAAATTATTTAGTACAGAGAACAAACCTATAAAGTCCGATCCAATTCGGAAACTAAGTGGACATGAGAACTGCGAGCTGATTGGGCTAAAAAGGCCCACTCTTTGTGGGCCCAGAGTCGGCTCACTATTATTCTCTACGACCTTTTCGAGTTGATAAATTTAAATTAGTAACGAAATTTAAACTGAAAATTATAAATTAAACGAAATAAATATAATTAGTTTCTTTTAAAAAGAATTCAGCATTTCACCATTCAGAACCACTTTTGTCATTTTGAAAATTTCAACCAATATTTAAAGGGATAGTGATGCTATTGTGGTGTTAGGTTAAAAAAGGACCAAAAGGAAATGATAAAGTCACCAAATAGAGATTGGCAATATAATTATATTTTGTGGTGAATTTTTTAGGGCGCACTTGTAATATGTGTAGTCTTTTTTGATATGGACTACGGATGCTGCCTATGATAGGGCTATATTTAAATTAATAATTACGAATATGGACTATATACATGCTACCCATGCTTTGAGAATCACCACCAAATTATATATTATGGACCGATTTTACAAATCATTTTCATTGAAACGAAAATACAAATCATGGGGGAACTGTGAAAACGACGCCGTTTATTATAATCCGACGTGGAACTACCCCTCCGTTCCCTTGGCTGCCAGCGCCTTTTCTCGACCGTCCGATTCAGCACTCCTCGATTCAACGGCGGAGAATAACCACGTGGCATTCATCTGCTTGGTGATCATCTGTGCCGCGTAGTACGGAATCTTCGGCGGCTTTGAATGCTTCAGCCGTTGATCTACGAATGACAAGCAATCCATCAAGCTTTCTCTCGCCGAGCCTTTCATATCGTACGCCTGAGATCTTCTCCACAAGCTCTTACCGTGAGGATGCGTCGCACCTGATAAACACAGAGCTCTGGTCGCATCGCTAATGGCGGATTCAGCTTTCTTGACCAGCAAGCAACACTGCGCTCTGTTACTATGCAACACAGTTCTATCTCGCGTCATATCCAACGGACATAAATCTATGGCTTTGGTGTAAATCTCCATCGCTTCTTGAACATCACCCTTCGAAAACTTCTTCTTCCCTTGCTTCTTTAAGAATTTCACCATTTTTGTTCTTTCGACAAGCTCTGTTTCAGCCATAAGCTTCTCTTTCTTCCTTCTCTCCACTTTAATCTCCCATATCTCCTCCATCGCTCTTTGAGATTCCTTGCTCTTCAGCTTCAACCCTCCGTACTTGATCTTGTGATAATCTTGCAGAACTATCTGGCAGATTCTGTCTCCGAGAGCCTTATCCTCAGCCAAATCAACCAGACAAGATCCTGAAATCTCGAGAACTCGAAATCTGACGTTTGGGTCTTTGAGAAGGATCAAAAGGGTATCTAAAGCCATTTCTTGCCAATCATCAGATGATCTGGAAAGATCGCAGAGGCTCTCTATCACTTCTCTAACATTAGCCACTCGTTTTCTTCCAGATTCTGTCTTGCAGAGTGTCTTTATCAGTCGAATTCCTCCTGGAGATTCCGAATTCGCCACCCCACCCCACATTTTACGTACCCTTTTCAAGAAACTCTCCTCGCATATACGGTCGAGAGATCTCTGTCTGGATGCGAAGCAATTCAAGAGATACAACGACCAACCCTGAAGCTGACTTCCCCATTCTTCGGCTTTTCTGTTTTCCCTTTCAATCCCTCCAAGCCCTCTTGTCAGCAAATCACTGTGGTACTTCAACCTCTTGCTATCTTCAACCCCCACGAAGCTTTTGTAGACATTCTCAAAACAGTTGCTGGCTATCTCCATTGACAGGTTCACAATTTCTTCTTCGTGTAAAGAGACAGCTGCAAAGCTTTTGTCGTGACTGGCCAAGTGCCCTAGTGCCCGAGCCGCCACCCTTTGCTCAACCCAACTGATCTTTCCTCTCAAAAGCTCCATCAAAGCTGGAACAACCCCAGAATCAGCCGCCTTCTCCGCAAGATCAGACCTGTTCATGGCGTATGAGCCGACAATATGAGCTGCATAGAACGGAATGAATATGTTCTGGTCTCTCAGAAGCCATGATTTGTCCCTGGAGGACTTGTGTATGAGTTTGGCCATGCAATCGAACAATCCGAGAGAAGGGAACTCGGGATCATCCGGCTGAGACATGGCGATGTTCCACAGACCGCTCAAGACCAGGACATGTTCTTTCGATTCCGTACGAGGGATTTCTCTGAATAATCTGGCGATTTTGGATCGGCGGCGAACTGGGTTTGTGTCTTTCATGTTGCAGAAGAAACAGGAAGGGTTTGTGCACGGTGGTTGATCACACGGGAACATGTTGGATGCGTTTTCTGGTTTTCTCCTTTGAGAAATTTGGAAGGAAACTCTGGATGGATACATTTTGATAAATTTTAAAATATGTCTTTGTACCACAAGAAAACGGATTACTTTAGAACCCTGATTATTTTAATCCAAGTGATATCAAATTCAAACTCGTAACCAAAAAGATGTTAAATATTCGCCGGCGTGGAAAGGTACACTTCTGGCTGTGGAGGCCCATTTTTTGTCCTCCCTTTTCCTAATTAAATCTTATTTATGACTCTACAAACCATAATATAGCGACCGACATCATTGAAATTTTCTATATATATACACATCAAGGTTTTGTGTTCTTTGCGCAAAACTGGGAAAAATAATCCAAGACCTAAAATGATTACGTAAACACCTTTTATAAGGATATATAGTTCGTACTACCATATATAACATGGTATTATAATTTTAGTACGACCAGGATATATTACAACTATCTATCTTTTTTTTTATTAGACTATGAGATAGTTCTAGATGACGTTCAACTATGAACCGACATTTTAAAGTTTTATACATTCAGACTAATTTCGTTCATCCCTAGATTAACGAACTAAACGGTAAAAGACTGATCTGAAGGATAATTCCGGACAGGGTTCGAATAAGGTCGAGTAGGAGATTATTGTGCTGTTGAGGCAGTTCGATCGTTTATGGAGAGACATGAAGGGACAAAGTGGAGTGATTGAAAATAGTGTAGGTGCGGTCCCCTCCCATACGGAGCCAATCAAAGCAAAGGTTATGTCTTGTAAGAAAGGTTTTACCTTTTCTTTTTTCCATTGTTTTTTCGGTTCGGTTCCAACTCAGAGGAAAAAAGAGTGCTGTTTGGGTCTCAAGAAAATGCGGCTGGGGAGAAAAAAAAAAGCCACTCTTAAACTCTAATTTAATTACGGCTAAAATATTTTGTAACCTTTTGCAGCTTTTTTTAATCATATTTTTTCATGTTCGAAATTCGCAATGAGGACAAAAAGGCTTCGGTGAGTTCTCCTCATGACACGTGGATGTGTTGGAGTATTAATTAAAACAACTGGTAAACGAGGATTAGTTGTTAATCCGCGTGCTTAAGATTTGATTCTTATGCACGACTCTCACGGATAAATAATCACGTCTACCCAAATCTCTCTCTCTCTCTCTCTCTCTCTTGAAGATAGAACAAGAAAGCTTATGATAAAAGTATTGGGTTTCCGTTTCAGACATAAGATATGGACAGCATATACATATTATACCTATCACCTTGGAAGGATTTTTGCCTGATATATATAATAATATGGAATGATAATAAGGGTACTAACCTCAGATCGAAGCTTTCCTCCTACTTGCCCTTGTTCTTGACATCCAAGTCGGCGGCCTCTTCCTCTTCCTGGTGGAAATGGTCAGTGCAGGATCACCTTCAGGGTCTTGTCCTTCTGATGATAATCGAGGCACTCTTGTGATCTCATCGATAACTTTTCTGAAGTATTTGAGCTCTTCTTCCATTGCATTTTCATCATCGTTCATCCCTTGTTCTCCCTCCATCTGCACATGATAGCCATACACTGTGAGAGAGAGAGAGAGAGATAGAGAGAGAGAGAGAGAGAGAGAGACGGGCAAGAAGAGGAAACATATAACATTTTTGTGTTAAAAAAAAGTTCTTACATCTTCCAAGACGGGGAAAATGGATCTTCCATCTCCGAAAGAGCTTGGAGAAATGTCGATCATAAGTTGCTCAACGTTCTGTACGGCCATCTCTGTCTGAATGGGAGCTACGATCTCAGGTATTGATAGATCTTCTACATGAACAGGTTGAGCTTGTCTGCAACCATCATTTTCAGCATCAGCAGGATCAGTGTCATTTACGATCCCTATAGATGATTCAGACATCAATTCATCTGCCCGTCTCTTAAGATTTTGTGCTTTTTCCCGCGCCTCATCAATCTTTCGGAGGGCATCCGCGACGAAATCATCAGAAAACTTGATCTCAGAAATTAGACTGCCTTCTTCAATCTCAGTCTCCTTGCTTGTACTTTTGCGGTCTGCAAAAGAATCTAACATATGTCGAAGAATTTCAGCTGGACCAGCCAAACCTCAAAAACTTATCAGATGCATTGTACAAATTTCCTAAAAGTTTGGACTTTTACTTAGAGACCCAGAGGGGTGTTCTTTCAGCTTAGAAATACTACGAATTGTTTCTGAAACAGACAACCAAATTTGAACCAAGAATTTCTAGCATAGGTAATTAATTTTTTCACGCCCCGTGGGAGACGATAGCAAGGAGGTTCTTATAGCTCCATGGAAAACATCCCAATTCACAAAAAAAAAAACCCCAACAAAATCCATACATTACCTAAATCATGATAATGAGGGCTAGCCATGGCTGGCATCCGATTTTCTGGGAACAAAAATGAAGCAACAAAAGAGAAAGAATAACACATTAGCTAAATCTTTCATGGAAAAAACCAATCTAAAACAAAACAAGAAAACTCCAGTATTCTTACCAGCGTAAGAGAAGAGATTATGGCTGGACCTATACGATGCAACATCTGTTGTTTCTTCCACCCGCTTCCTTTTTCTTCTCTTCAAAACTCCCACCCTTTGAGAATGAAAAGGAAAAGGATTCGACTTTGCAGCACTGCCTTCCAATTTTAACTTCTCCAACTCAAACTGCTTCATCAGATAATACTTTGCAATTTTATGATTGTACTTTCTCGCTTGACACTGAAATTCCTTGACCTTTAGCTCTAACCATCTACATCGCCACATTATATGCCTAATGAAACCCCTCCAATCATCCCTTAGCCTTTTCTTCCTTTACAAGATACAATAATCACAGAGAAACAGCTGCATCAGTAAAGCAGTTTTCAAAGAATACCAATTCACCAAAAGAAAATAACAGTTCTCAAAACAAAAGGTCACAGTTGATTCTGAAATAGGACACATGAATAGCCATAAGACCACCAAATAAACCAGCAAAAGACAGATATATTATTTACCTCATACGAAAAAGCTGCGTCCCATCACAGAGTGAATGCGATGGGTAACCCTGGCATAATATCGATTGAGCCTCATCATTGCCAAGCTCAGAATCATCAGGAGCACAGGTTGAATCATTAAAAGAACTAGAAGAGCTGATTGCATCATCGGATACCACTTCCTCCACCCGATACTCATCAGGTTTTGTACACTCCAGTACGTCAACGTGAAAGTCCTCCTTCGAAGAAAGATCGCTCTCTTTGCTCTGCGAGATATTCATGTCTGTTTTCTGGGCTCTGCTTTAGTCTCTATTGGAAGCTCCAGAAGGTCCAAAGATTCAATTTGGGCTTTCACTTCCAAGCAACTGATCAAATTGTACTTATCCCATTAGAGCACCACCTAACTATGCACGGTGAGTATCGAATCATGGTAAAAATCAGACTATCAATTCAGACTAGATTTAAAAACCAGCAAATGTTGAAGCTTCTAACTTTAGAAAGCCACAATTTTTTATGCGAATTTCAGACTCCTTCCCAAATTTCTTTAAAAGAAGAGCAAAAAGAGAACTTTACCCAGGAAAAAGGAGTGAATCAAACATTTTGAAATCGGTGATTCAAAACAGTTCACTGAAGATCCTAAATTGAAGGAAAATGACGCAATAATGACGAATGAAAAATTTTATCAAAAAAAATGACGAATGAAAATTTCCCGGAAAATTTTCCCAAATCGGCTGATCACGGACCATAAGGGAGTCCAAAAACACACAAAAACAACTTCGAAACCCGAAACTATCAAAAGAAAATCCGAAATTTTGGGAGATCCTTAAACCCTAAACCCTAAAAGAGAGAGGGAAACACAAAACAGAGAAGAGAGAGAAATTCACCGACTACACGAGCGGCACCCTCCGCCGCCGATAGTCAAATCAATAGCCGGAAAAACACATAATCCGGTGATGGACAGCACGTCCGCCGCCGCAAATCCCGATCGGCGGCGTCTGGGCGGCGAAAGAGTCGAGGCGCTTACGTGAGAGTGCTACGAAAGAAATGCAACGCTTCCTCAGTAAAAGCGACATTAAAGAATTTCCGTTACTGGTAGGCCCATTCTTCCTTCTTTTTTAATCCCTCATTTTCCGAATCTTTCCATTTCTATTTTCAATTTGCCTTTTATTAAAAATAAGAGGAAAAAAGGTCCTAAAACCATTACACATTTTTTTTTGTTAAAACAGTAACTAAATATATTTTAATAATTTGTATTACTTGTTTTTTTGAAGGATAATTCACATTGTGTGGGAGGCCCATATGTATACATATACATCTATATATATATATATATATCCAGATTGTATTCTGTTTAAAAAATAAATAAAAAAAGGGTAGAGAGATTTCTACGAACAGTCGGAAAATAAAAAAACATAAGATCAATCTCTGCCATGATTCCCTTCTCTTTGAGTTCTGAAGTACTTGAGAAGATTCTGAGCCTGCAGAAACAGAGCAACAACCTCAATAGCTAACACAAGGAAATGTACTTCAAAACAACAGGAAGAAGAAGACATTCTTGTTAAATGTTTCCACTTCGAACCTTCTCTCTGGCTCTAGCCGTTCCCGACTTGGTAAGAGCCACCAGAGGTGGAATGGCTCCTTCTTGAATGACCTTGTTGCAGAACCGAGGGCTATGCATACACAGCTGCAGAAGGGCAGCGGCCGCATTCTCTTCAACTCCACAACCTCGACCAGAACCGGTATCCCTCCTTCTTGACCAATGGCAACTTTCCCTTCTTTGATGGTTGCAAGATTCGCCAGCACAACCACCGCCTTCTCAACCATCCCGGCCCATGGGTCCATCAGCTCGACCAGGTGTCTGACTGCCCCTGCTTGGACTATCCGCCCTTTGTTGTCGTGGTGTATTGACAGATTGAACAAAGCCGTGGCTGCATCTTTCTTCCCTCTGAGGCTTCCGTTGCCCAAAAGATCAACCAGCGGCTTGACAGCTCCTGCCTGTCCTATCTTTATCTTGTTCTCTTCTATCACTGACAAGCTAAACAGGGTGGCTGCCGAATTCTCCTTGGCTTCTAAAGTTCCAGTCTTGAGGACATGGATGAGCGGCTCAATGGCTCCAGCCTCTGCAATTACCGATTTGTTGTTGTCATTGATGGACAAGTTAAGAAGGGAAGTCACTGCATCTGCTTGAATTTTCTCATCTGTCGAGTTAAGCAGGTCGACTAACGAGCTGATTGCTCCACACTTTGCTATCACGATACGGTTGTCAGTGCTGTTTCTCGATAGTATCCTGATACGAGCTGTAGCCTCTCTTTGGGTTTCGACTGAAGGGCCTTTCAGTTCTTCCACTAGCTTCTTCACCTCAGTTTCTATACTTGGTGTTCCTGTTCCAGTTATGGTCGCCGATATGATTCCTGGGAAACGCCTGCCTGATGGGTTGGTCTGCATCTGTACCCAAGATTGCTCAGACCGTTCCCTCTGTGAGATTATTGCCATTCCAGGAACCACATCACAGACCACGCCTGGAGCAGAAGCTGACCTACTGAGGATCTGAGGCAGTTCCACCATTTTCGTAGCTTGTAAAGATTCTGACAAACCTGGTGAACTGGTGGTGTTCTTGTCCTCAGAGTTTGTCCAATCTCCAGTACTGTCCTGTGAAGTACTTGTAAAGCTGAATTTATGCTCATTGCTGCTGCTGCTGATAATCCTAGGGGAAGAACTGTCAGATAATGAACGAGGAGGATGCGATGAACAAGAAGCTTTTTCTGACTGAACCCCATTGCATTCGGCTGTCACCTGAACACAAGATCCGTTGGAATGGAGTAATACATCATTCGGATTAACATGAGAACCACCCGAATCACCAACACCTGTTTCAACAAGAAGAGGGAATGGCTGACTTGACCTAATTAACCCCAAGGGATCCGGGGGCTGGACATTGTTTGATTCACACCAACTGGCAATAAAGGCCTTGACAATGAAATTAGGTGTCAGAGTGGTGTGAGACAGAACCTGTCTTGTCTTTGGGCAAACCATGAGTCCCATATCGATCCAGTTCTGGATAAACACACGTTCGTATGTCTGACCCGAGGAGACGATGACTGGATCGGTCATTAGTTCAAGAGACAGAGGGCAGCAAAAGTCGGGAGGGACTGGGACAGGACTCCCCATCTGAGACTGCTTTATCTTGGTAAGATAATCATGCAGTGTGGTCACAAGGGAAATCAATTGGTCCAAGAACTCAGCTTCACTATTCTTTTCACATACCTCCGCATTCTCCTTCATACCTTCGAGTACCACCCCTTCAATCAGAATCTCCTGGTTTGATCTCAAACCAAGATTCTCAGCAATTTTCACTAGAACCTCTGCATTGGGTCCCCCGCCATCTCTTTGATCCTTCAGAGCCTGATGGATGGTTGAGTATATCACTCCGTTTCCTATTTCCTTTATCTTCTCCAAGCAGCACTGCAATTTCGAATGCTTTATAAATATGTAGCTCAAAGAAATGGTAAAACAATCCAGGTGAAGCTGAATTGCCATTTTACCTCAACAAATGATAAACTCAATTCCTCAGGTAACTGTTGTTCATAATGTGTCAGCAGTTGGAAGACCTCCACGCTGGCCTCTCGCATCTTCGATACTAATGATTCAATTTGAAGGACCTAAAGATCAACCAGATGGAGAAAATTAGCACAAAGATGCTAACCCTCGAGCATAATAAACCGGTTCTATGGAGAGTATTACCCAGAATTAGTGGCTATTCGGGGTCAAAAGCTTTGTTTCCTCATTTTTAGCTTTTCACCTAACAACTTAAACAAATCTTCCCCATGCAAAGGACTGAAGGATTTCTATACTTACAGAGTAAAGTCTACTTGAGAGTGGTTGCCAGCTCTCGAACAGATCTCTTAACTCATCCACGTATTGAGCTAACTCTTCAAACCCGTTGTTAATCAACTCGTTTGAAGCAGCATCAGAGTCAACAAGTGATTCTAGAACGGGCTTCAAAATATTTGCAACATCTTCCCCCCTTGTGTAGTACTTGTGAGCTGGGACAGAATTTACGTTTTCGAGAGATGACAGACTTAGAAACGAGGAGATGTTATCGAGAAGAGCTCTTAACCATGACCTCTCCATTTGCACCTTCGGTCACCAAGAAAATGAACCAAGGAATTGAGCATCAATAAACTATTTTTTTTTCCAAAGATACACTGAAAACGCAATGAACTAAAACAAATGTAAACCTCATCTGGATAATTTCAGGAACATACCATGTCTTACAGCAGTGTCACTTGGTAATGAAACAGAAAGAAATTCATATATGGAAACTTGTTAAGCTTTTATGGCTCCATCATCAATCCAAAATTCAAGGAGATATTCAGTGCTTTGGTAATCAAATCCCCCTGAAGCTAAACCTGCAGAATTACAATTACAGAACATTAGGCCATGAATTCAGAACAGAAGTAAGTAGTTAATCTGCATTTATATGGTTCGTCACTCATCAGTTAAATTCAAATTCACATTAGCTGGATTCCACTGTTAGACCCAACAGCCAAACTAGGTAACCATTTCACTTGAACTGAGATAATCCCACACACAACTGATTATATACAAGCTTCTATAGGCATAAAGGAGATAGCTTTTATGAACTGATGCGAGTAAAGATGATAGCTTTGGCCGAACAAACATTACAGACGCTTAGAACTGTGCATGAATTTTCATAATTGCCCTCTTCATGGAACTGCGAATCGGAGCAAGAGGAGCGGAAAGGCATCTAAGGAGCTGGAGACCCAGAAAAACCCTAGAAATTCAGAAAGGGTTTTTGTTCAGCTCCTAAATTCTCAAGTTAAGGCAGGGTTCCAAGTATTGTCTTTTCTTTTTAAAGAAGTTTGAATCGAACAGAGAGCGAAACTCTATTGAGAGCTTCATTCCCAATTCAAAACACAAACTCTAACTGACAAAAAAGGGAAAAGAGGCAACACTCAAAACATGGAAGCAAACAACTCAAAGCTTCATTTTTTTTTCCTAAAACCCAGAAAAAATCAGAAACATGAGAGGAAAAAAAACACAAATGAACCGAAAGAGAGAGAATCTTAGGTTGTTTGATTCAAAGCAAAGGAAAGAGACACATGAAGAAGAAGGAGAACCTTTCCTCTGTCGCTCCCTCCGTTTTGTTTCCTTGTTTTCTTGACTCGAAAACATAGAAAACAAAATGTCTTCGTTCAGTTTATTCTTTGTTTTTCCCAGAAATCGAAGCACCCCGAAAAATACGAGAGAAAAAATTCATATTTACATTTAATATAAATTAAATTAAATGAAAACATATGGATATTGTCTAAATGTATGGAGTTACAAAGATAGGGTGTAAGACAAGAAAGTCAGAAATTGTTATTAAATCCGGGAGAAAGAGGCAGTTCGCCAGCAATATTATTATTAATACTAGAAGAGAACCGCGCGATGCGCGGTTTATTTTTTTTATTGTTAATATAAAATGTTTGTTCTTTTGTTATAAAAAATTATTGATACGAATATAAAAAAAATTGTATATATATTCAAAGAAGTGAAAAAATAAAAGAATATAGATATCATTTTATTATTATATTATAAAATTATTTTTGTATATGTGTTGAATACGATTTATCAATATGATTTTTGTATATTTTTTACGCTGAAATATATATTTAATCAATATAATAGTCATGTTTTTCTGTTTTTTTAAGCCTATGTTTACATTATAATAACAATAGTGTTCACATTAAACAATTTAAATATATTTTATTAAATAAATTTATATATTCATGCAATATATTAGAGAGAGATTTTCAATAAATATTGAAACACCAAAAAAATATATAATAGCAGATTCGGGTCCTAGCAGACAAGTTCCAATCGTTGGAATCCATCCCGAGGTGTGGATACGTGTAGAGGGCGAGGTATTCTTCCTCTTATATTAAAAAAAAATATTCTCTATATTTTATTAATTTTACCATTTCTAGGTATATATCCGCGTCATGCACGAGTTATTATTATTTTTATATTCATGATATTTTTATATAATTTGTTGATATAAATATTACAAAAAAATGATATTTAAATCAAATTATTGTGAAATCATCATTAGTTATTATACTATTTGTATAAATAAGTTAAGATGTGAAAGATTATATGTGTCGTTAGGTTTTTTTATTATAGATTTTTTATGATCTCTGAAAAAATTAGTTATAATATAACAATATAAATGATATTATTAAATATTATTTAATGTTCAATTATTCAGTTTTTCATTGTCAAATAACCTGTAACACAATCCCCAAAATCCTAACATGAACACAAATTCTAAAATTATAGAGGTAGAGTTTCGACTACGTAAAAAGCGTCGAAGTTTATTTTCGCTTCGACACCTTGCCTCGTGCTGTTGTATACGATCTAACAGCCATCACCACTCCAAGCAAGCTATTATCAATTCTGTATGGTCAATCTCACTAAACTCAACCAGATTTCTTTGTTTTTTTTTTTCTGATAAGGCAATGATTAAAAAATTGTTATATATAAGAGACATTCCAAAATAATAAGAATATAAGGTCAATAAATATAAATAGCTTTCGAGTGTCATGACCGGATGCTTTTTTCTTAATTACAACATTATGGATATAATTATGATACAAAATATACACGATTAATATATCTATTTAGGAGAATTTTGAGAAATAAATAAAGTTGAGGTTGAATTCTTCCCTTATGTTAAGTGGTTTTATCTTTGTGGATGTTGCTTTATCCATGTGTATATATATCTATATAAGGGAAAATGTATATATATATATAACATCATATGATTATTTGAGATTTGATTGAAATTTAAATATAACAAAAATAGGGATCGTCATTTACATAAACTAAAAATTTAATTTACAAATCAAATATGTGAACCAAAATTACATGGAACAATTCTAATGAAAATATTTCATGTTGTTCTTTGAACGTCATTTTCACATAATGCATATTACCAGCTTTATATGCAATTCAAAACATCATATGTGACTCACTTACTGATTGATTCGTCAATATCGGCTCATCACATATATATTTCGAGAATGTTCCAGTCCCTACCAGCTAAGACGCTGCCTGAATTTTTTTCCTTTCCAGAACAATCCAGACGTCTACGTTTAATTTCAGAAAAGTCTCAAAAACATAAAACGATGTAAAAACTCATTACCTTAAGGAATAACCGATGCTCATCATGCAACCTATTGAAAATGCCGTCGAGAATGACTGTGTCGTACGAATTCGACGGTAATATCGCCGAATCCACCATCGGATCTCCCGCCACCGCCATTAATAGAGTCCCAAGAGAAATCGAGAATTACGGTTCTTCAGATTCTTATATCACTCTCCACTTGATGGGTAAACTTCCTACCACTTGACTGTGTTGTAAGGATTGATTCTACTCGACTTGATGGGTAACTTCCTAGACAGAGGCTGCCTCCCTTCGTCCATCCTAATTTACACACACATACACAAAAAAAAAACAAATTTTCCGCGTTAATATCAAAAAGATTGACAGAAGAAGATACTCGAAAATCGTAAAAGCGTTAAAAAAAAAAGATGCAAAAAACCTAAAAACCCCTTGAGCTAAATCGAGATGGAAAATCTGTGATTTGGTGTATACAATCATCGACACAAAAGGAGTCCCAAAAAAGATGAAGCTCGGATAATAAATATAGAACTCTAATCGACAATCTGATGATTCAACCAAATCACAAACGAAAAAGGAAAACATACATATCAGCAGATGAAGTCTTGAACCTCATCACCTGCGGAGAAGAAACTGCTCTTTTGTCATAGATAGAAGCTGATAGCTACCATCATCATCTTCGCAGTCACTGTCAAACACATCACAAGAGAAAAATCAACTAAAGATGCGAGTAATATAATGAAAATTCGACCAAAAATATTGTCGGATAGCTTTTTCGATCATCCGAATAGATTTCCGGCCTCTTCGCTTAACTTTTTTGCATACAAATCAAAAGCCAATTGTTTCATTCAGGTTTTGATTTTAAATCCTTCTTTCTCGAATTCTTTGAGTGGTATTAGACAATTTAATAATGACACGTGGCACATTTTTATTGGATGACTGTGAATTAGGAACAAAGAAAAACGTTAAGAAGCTGGCATGCAGAGGGATCCGCCCATTTATCATAATATAATGAATACATAATAAATACTCCATCAAAATATTTATGGCATTTGATCGTGTACATAGTTTATAACAGTTTTCTGACTTAAATGCATTCTCTACGTTAGAGTATGTAGTTGAAAGGTTGATAATTGTTACTTGTTCTTATTATTATAATAATATCAATATTAAAAAAATTGTGTGTAATTAATATGAAAATAACCATAATTTTTAATTAAATTTTAAATTTGTTATTTTTAGAATTATTTTATAATCAGAATTTAAAAAAATCTAAATCTATGTGTAATCAAATAAGATTTTTAATAATATATAAAACCAAGATTAGAATTGATTGTCTATATAATAAAGATGAATGTTTTTGTAATTATAATAATCTGTTTATTGATTTTCTTTATTATATGTCATCTAGCTAATGGAGATTATTTTTTGTATTATATGTCATATATCTAATGAAGATTGTAATTAACATCATTTAAAATTTTGTCACATGGATGATGATGATGTGGATCTATGTGTCCTCACCAATCATTTAAAATTTTGCCACATGGATGATGATGTGGAGGATGAGGTGGTTTCACCAGAATCCTTTAAACATCTTTATTAATATATATAGATTTAATTGTTTGTTTTCAGTCACCTACACTAATATAAAATGTTACATGTTTGACTAAAATTGGGTTTTTGGTTAGGAAAGTGCAAAAAATTAATGATCCAAGTTTTAATTGAAAAATTTATAATTAAGCCAATTAGGTTAGCAGTCGGTGGTGTGATGAGGAGATTTACCAAACTTAATTACATCACAACTATTCCTTAGCAAAAGAGCATCTAATTCTAATACATAATATCTATATATATAAATTAAATTGGCAAATTAGATAACGGTGAACTCTGAATCATTTTTTAAAAAAAAACACGAACCGGTTTAATATTATTCAACAAGGACCAAAATGGTGGTTTGACCGGAGACATCTAAATATATATACTTTAATAAAAAAGCGTGTTCCTTTGGATTTGACCATTTCATCTCTTGCACCCTGATTTTATTTTTAAATCAAATTCGACCCCATTACAATAATTTATTGTATTAATTTTTTTTAAAAAAAGAAAACCTCAGCCACTAAAAAAAAGGCGAATCATTCGTAGATATCTGCATTCTACAAAGCGATGCGGTATGATGTGTGTATATATATATATATATATATATATATATAACAAGTTGCATTATTTAACACGACACAAAATCATTAAGGCACGGAAAATTTTGGGCTCTGTTTATTTTTCCAGATCAGGGTGTAATATCGGTCTATTCCTACAACTGCCGCAAGATCATCGTGAGTCCGTGTGAGTATAAACAATGGGGGGGGGGG